TTACCACATACTTTATAACTCGTGAGGAGCTTCGTTTTGACGAGTCTATCACACTTTCTCTGCGACTTTTCTCGATTCCTCCACTTTTCCACTCGGAAAAGTCCAAAAACATGTCAATTTCCCGGGGTCTTGAAAAGTCAAGATCACATCTTTTTTTTTAGCTTAAGTTACTGGAAATTTTGTTGCAAATGCCAATTTAAATTTGTCCGATAGAAATTCTTCCGACATTGATGTGTCTACCGGTCGAAACATGCCAAAATAACACAGGGTATTGAAAATCAATTACCACATAGGTAATTTTTAGTAAAATCAATTGTAAATAATTAATTGAGTCAATAAGTATTGCTGTCCGACAAATTTTAAGCCGCGTTTTTTCAGTCCGACACACAGTGGGAAATATTGGAAAAAATTCTCGCCACTTGCCAATTTTCATCGTCTCATCTTGATTTTTTTTTTAATAATCTCGTGGTAATCTGAATTTTCATATTCCGGTGAGGTTTTTTCGAAAAATCCTTTTTTTTTAATTTTTTAATGCTTAGGGAGCGCCCCAACCTCAATGTCGAAGAAAATCTTTTATATACTCGATGTTCAGTTTTAGAAAAAAATGTATAAAAAGTATCTGCTATTAATAAAAATTGATTATTATGACCCTTGATGATATATTTGGAGTTAGGTTTTTGAAGAAAAAACATCAGATATATCATCGAGAGTCATAAGGGGCGCTCCCGAAGCATTAAAAAAAAGGGTTTTTCGAAAAAACCTCACCGGAATATGAAATTTCAGATTACGAGATTATTAAAAAAAAAATCACGACGAGACGATGAAAATTGGCGAGTGGCGAGAATTTTTTCCAATATTTCCCACTGTGCGACAGTTGGGAATCGGAATTTTCACGGGGTATGATAAATCTATTACCACATGTCGGAAAAAATAACACGATAGAACAGGGTTCGTAGTGGCCTGGAAAACCGGGAATACCGGGAATTCATTATTCTTCATAAAAAACAGGGAATAGTCAGGGAATTTTAATATTATTCATGAAAGTCAGGGAATTTGATGCTTGCAACTGGAAATTTTGTTGCAAATGCCGATTTAAATTTGTCCGACAGAAATTCTTCCGACATTGACGTGTCTACCGGCCGAAACATGCCAAAATGACAGGGGGTATTGAAAATCAATTACCACATAGGTAATTTTTAGTAAAATTAATTGTAAATAATTAATTCAGTCAAAAAGTATTGTTGTCCGACAAATTTCAAGCCGCGTTTTTTCAGTCCGACATCTGGAAATCGGAATTTTCACGGGGTATGATAAATCTATTACCACATGTCGGAAAAAATAACACGATAGAACAGGGTTCGTAGTGGCCTGGAAAACCGGGAATACCGGGAATTCATTATTCTTCATAAAAAACAGGGAATAGTCAGGGAATTTTAATATTATTCATGAAAGTCAGGGAATTTGATGCTTGCAACTGGAAATTTTGTGAAAGCCGGCCCTGGGTTCTTAAAAGAGAAATTTATTTGTGGATTTGAAACCTTTATAAGAGATTCTTTGAATTAAAAAAAAATTGTGGAGTCCAGTCCAGAAAAAGTTTAATGCATAAACACCAAATAGCATGTAAAAATGACTTGGAATTTTTTTTATAAGTCAGGGAAAACCTGGAAAAGTCAGGGAATTCTATATTACTTTTGAACTACGAACCCTGTAGAAAAGTGTTTTTTATAATCAAAAATTATAATGTCCGACAAAATTATATCCGCAAATCGTCAGTCCGTTTTATTCTTGCAATTGTAAATCTCTTATGCTCAATTTAGCCAAATAAATATCGAGAATAGGATTAAACGATTTCAAAAAAGTATGTATGGTGTAAAAAAATTATGCACTAAAGTTTTGGAATTTTCTTTTAGAAAAATAGGAAAATTTTCGTAAAGAAAAATAACAAACGCGAATGAAGACTTGAAAGAGAAAAGAGGATTTTTATATCAAGTATAATATTAATTTATTTAGAAATAGTGCACTAAGATAGTATGTAAGTTAATTACTTTAAACTGCCTGAAACAGTTTATAACTCTATAAACTAATCCTTTTTTTTTCCTATGGATCCTCAAATGCATATGTTGATGTGATGATTTTATTACAAAAAAATATATAAAAATACACTTTGTAATGTCAATACGCACCAAGACTTTGAAGTGGGGCGCGATAGAAAGAGAATTGCTCGGATGGTGGTGACTTTTTTAAGTTGCCCGTGAATTTACTATACTGGTTTATTACTAAACCTGTTACAGTTGGTACTACCCATGAAAGTAACATGAGGCGGAAACTTTTAAAGTATTGTAGAAGAAAATAGTTTGAATATATTGAATTTTGCATTTATTAATCGTCTCAGAAATACCTTCATTTGTTTATAACTTTAAAATTTTTAAGCATAAAATAAGCAATATTATAATTATTTATTTGAAACAAACAGGGATGGGCGTTTACTCGTCGAGTTTAATTGTCGACGTCTACGTGTAGACTTCGCGTAGACTATGTAAACAACGTAGACTATGTAGACAATGCAGACAAAGCGGANTATTGATTTATTGATTTTTTAATAATTTGCGGACATTAAATCGTCGGACACTTATATCACTATTTTGTACAGTAAATTTAAAAGTGGAAAAAATGAAAATTAGATATGTGGTAATCGATTTTTCATACCCCGTGAAAATTCCGATTTCCAGCTGTCGGACTGAAAAAACGCGGCTTGAAATTTGTCGGACAACAATGCTTTTTGACTTCATTAATTATTTACAATATATTTTACTAACAGTTGTCTATGTGGTAATTAATCTTCAATACCCTGTCATTTTGGCATGTTTCGGCCGGTAGACACGTCAATGTTCGAAGAATTTCTGTAGGACAAATTTAAATCGGCATTTGCAACAAAATTTCCAGTAACTTTAACTAAAAAAAAAGATGTGGTCTTGACTTTTCAAGACCCCGGGAAATAGCCATATTTTTTAACTTTTCCGAGTGGAAAAGCGGAGGAATCGAGAAAAGTCGCAGAGGAAAAGTGTGGTAGACTCGTCAAAACGAAGCTCCTCACGAGTTACAAAGTATGTGGTAATCAACTTTCCAGGGGGGGGCTTGTACTGTGGACTACTAGTCTTACTAAACTTATTTTTTTGGTTGTAAAATCAAATTACCCAAATTGAATTAATATTTTGAGTACCATTACAACATTTTGATGAACACTGGTTTCTCACGGAAATACCAGCTGAAACAATAATGTGAAAACAGCAAAGTTAAATAGTTTGGCTGGTGGGTTTCATTCATAAATAATTAACCCGTTGCCTCTATCGATCTGCCTATATTGTCTAAGTAGTCGTTACATCTCTGTAAAATGCGATGATAAATTGAAATTATTGATTTTTCGACGTAGTATTTCGAAAAATAAGTTTTTTTCAACAGAGTTTAATACTCTCTGCAATTATTTCTGCTAGAAATCAATCGCAATCATGCTGAAATCGTCCATTTAGTTTCCTAGGTAGACCCAAACGGGTTCTTAAAAAAAATTTCATTGAAATCTCACAGTTCAATCAAATATTACAAGCATGTTACAATAAATTCGTTTACTCGTAAAATGCAAGCATTTTTTTTTTTCCTCCAAAAATTGCTAAAATCCGGCGATTTTTGGCTTCAGTTGGGGATTTTTTAATTAAACTTCAAGTATACAGGGTGGCTCAAAAAAACATATAGTATCAAACGAAAATTTTCTAAATAAAACATAACTTTTTGATTGTATTTGGTGCCATACATACAAATTGAAGCTTAAAAAATCACATTTTGTTGTAAAAAAAGCAATTTTGTTTTGTTGATAAATTTTACGCAAAAAATTAATTCAACATTTTTTTAAATTACACCGCAATTCACTTACGATTTAGAATTTTCACTACATTGGACATGATTTGCAATAGTTAGTAATATTATGAGGTTAGGAAAATGCCACAAAACAACGGACAAGTACCCACAAAACCATACAACAGAGCTAATGCTACGGATAGTAAACGTAAACGCATTAAATTGGCTTGGAACGTAAATACAACTGTCCCTGCTGATCTACATACCTATATTGTGACATAAACACATTTATTTTTTTCGTAGGTTTGGAGAGTTTCCCGCAGAAGCCAGCGGTGGAAGAACGCGTCCCCGACTTGTTAGTGAACAGCGGCGATTGCAGCATATGCTTCTCGTCTAGACTTAACGATAAGCTGCCGGAGGTCATTTGCAAGAATAAGGTTTGCGAAAACTGCTACCACGTCGAGTGTTTGTACGAGGTAAAATAACCAAACGTTTTTGTAAAGAAATTGTTATGACTTGCAACTGTTATTTTTAACAAAAATTATAAAGCTCCGAATTGCTTAAAAAACGTTGCTCTTTTTGTTTCAGTGGTTGATGTCCGTGAATGCGAGGCGGTTCTTCTCGGATGTCGTCGGGTTGTGCCCGAATTGCGAAAAGAATATCACCTGCCCGATACCCAAATAGCTGCACTCAAATGTATATATTTTTTCGTATTTTTGTAAATAAACGTTTTAAGTAGACGTGTTGCTTTTGTTCGTTCCAAATCACATTTTTCTTGTAGCAACACTTTAGAATTAAAAAAATAAGTAAGTTTTTATCTGTTATACAGAATTTATATGGACGCTACCTTTTTAACGCACATCATAAATTTGTTTTGTCAAATACCGTTGTGAAAAATTAAAATTTTTTTTACTCTCATTATTTTCATTAGGCCAGTCAAATTGTCGAAAATGCCTCATTTTTTGCCAAAATTTAGTTCAGGAAACAAAGACGTGTAAAAATAGGGAAAAATTCCGTACCCCAGCTGAATGTTAGGGCTTCATTTTCAAAATGGAGTCCAAAGTTCGAAAAAACAGTTTTTTTTACATTAAAAATAAGAACTAAATGTTTTAGAAAATTGAACTTTTTATAACAAAAATTTTAGGCCCAACCCGAAGACGATTGATAAACAAATGTATTAGTTATTGCAAAAAAAGGGCTAAAAATCGCGTTTTTTTTAAACTTCGATACAGGGTGTTGACAGTTAATAAACCCTACCTAATATTAATCAAGGAATACAAAAATGCAATAATATACAGGGTGTTCCATTTAAAATAAAGTTATGTAGCGCCTATGCGAAAAGGAACACCCTGTAAAGCTAAAAATATTTTCTTTGCATGGCCCACATGATTCCAGACAACTTTTATTAAAACCATTTTTTTAATAAATTTTACAGTTGCAAAGTTACAGAAGAATCCCTCTTTGGTGGAACACCCTGTATATTTAAAACGAAAAAATATTTTTTTTTACGAAACTCATAATATTTAATACTTGGCAAGTGGAATAAGCGCATTTTGTAAAATTGCAAAATATTTGATAGTTTTTGCAAAAATTGAGTTTTTCGGAAAAATACATTTTTTCCACGTTTCGATAAATCTTACAGCAATGCACTTGCGTGACCCATCTTGGGCTTAAAATTTTCTCTAAGAGTTGTACTTTCCTGTGCAAATTGTGCTCGAATTGCAAAATAATTGGAAATATACAAAAAATCTACCGAAACTTTGACTTCTTTTTTTGGGCTGAAAAATGTAGATCTTTTTTTTATCGTTGAAATATAATTGGAATGGCTTTGTTGCCATTTGAAATCTGACATTTTTTCACGAATTTAATAAAAATATTCCAACAAGAATAACAGAAATTTATTTTTTTTTCTTTCAAAAAATCGCTACGACCTCATTTATTAATATTAAAGTTTGAAATTTACACATGATGTGGTTGAATGCTTTTACTTCAATATAAAAAAATAGTCCGCAGTGATTGATCCTCTTTTTTTCAGCAAAACAGTAAACTTAATTTTCTTGGACCCCGCAAAATGCTTGCTCCGCTCCATACAACTAACAACCTTTCAAAATTGAGCAGGCATGCTAAGCACTAACTGAGTAGCTGACAACACTGAGTCACAGTCTTTCTCTCCCCCACCACATGCATCAACGTATCGAGCAGAACGAACATTTTACGGGGCCCAACAAAATTAAGTTTACTGTAAAAAAAAAAGGTCAATCATTGTGCACTATTTTTTATATCAAGTAGAAGCATTCAACAATATGTGTAAATTTCAGACCTTAATATTATTAAACGAGGTCGTAGCGATTTTTTGAAAAAAATAAAAATTATCGGGTCCTGTTGGTCACAGGACATTTTTTAATTTCAAATTCTGGGAAAACATGTCAGCTTTCAAATAGCAATAATGCCGTTTTGATTAAATTTCAACAATAACAAAAAGATCTACATTTTTCGATGCAAAAAAAGAAGTCAAAGTTTCGGTACATTTTTCGCATATTTTCAATTATTTTGCAATACGCGCACAATTTGCACAGGAAAGTATAACTCGTAGAGGAAATTTTAAGCCCAAGATGGGTCAAGAAAATACATTACTGTATGATTTATTGAAACTTGAAAATAAATTATTTTTTTCGAAAACGCCAATTTTTGCAAAAACTATCAAATGTTTCGCAATTTTACAAATATGGACTTATTCTACTTGTCAAGGACTACAGATTCTGAAAGTTTCGTAAAAAAAATCTCTTGGTTTTAAATATATTGAAGTTTTAGAAATATGCGAATTTTGGCCGTTTTTTTGCAATAACTAATACATTTGGTTATTAATTGACATTGGGCTGGCCACAAAATTTTTGCTCTACAACTTTTGTCCAAAACATTTTTTTTTTCTAAATTGTTTATTTTTAAATGAAAAATACTATTTTTTGCGAATTTTAGACGCCAGTTTGAAAATAAAGCTCTACCATTCAGCCGGGATAAAGTAGTCGATTCAATTCTACGGAGTTTTTCCTAATTTTTACGTGACTGTTTACAGAATTTTATTTTGGCACGTAAAAATCTAATTTGATCGGACTACATCCCCTAGCCGCCAGAAGTCTTTCTTTTTTCCCATATCAGGTCGAAATTTACAATGAAGATACACAAACACACCATACTGTCACTAAACAATGAAACGACTATACGGTTGTACAATGCACAGAAGATCACTTTAAACTAAACTCGAGTTTACGGTAAATCCCAATGCTATTGTACAAATTCTATTTTGATACCAGTAAAAACGTTATGCAAAAATCGGGAAACTGAATGTGCAATAAAATAAAAATATTTCAAATATCAAATTACTTTTTATAAAATTAGAAAGAAATTATTTAAAAAAATTTCGGTACAGTACATTTGGTAACGATCAGTCTTAGTTAATATTTAATAAATCCTGCAAAGAATAAGCTTTAATTTGTGAACATAAAAAAATGTGATGACTAAAAATAACATGTTGCTAGGTCATATAAAAGTAATATACTTTTATAAAGTTATTTTCCATTGTAGTTTCGCTCTCTATCCTCTATACCCTCTGATGGCTTCACAGAGTTGGTTTAAGAAGATAACAACACTACATTGAAAGGCGTGCACATAAATCGAGTTTGGGAATTGCCCAGTAACGGCGTAGACAAGAGTTTAAGGTAGTTAAAAAAATGATTTATTTGATATGTAGAAGGATTTAGTTTTGGCAAGATAAACAAAAAGAGAGCAAAGAAGCACAACACATTAAAAAATTTCAAAAATACAAGGTACCGCAATCTTCCATTGACAAAACGAATTAACGTAAATTGCAAATCCAATGTTTTTGAGATGATAAAATTTTATTTCAATTTTTTATATCTCGTCTGTTTTTGTTCCCTGATAGATACAGTGTTATCAATTATTTCATTCATTGATTAATTATTTGATTATGATTTTTCTCGAAAATGGTACATGCTACCGTATTTCGACAAGTATACCTTTTTTTTGCAGTCTACTTTAGAGTTTATAGTATCGTTTAGAAATGTAATAAATTTTGACTTAACATATTTTTTTTTTCGATTGTACCCCTCCAATTACCTGTATCGGCAACACTGCTTTTCAGAAAGAAACTGTTTGCACATTATTCTTAACGCACAGTTGATGTTTACTCGTGTACAAATTTTGACATTTTTATCTTTAGCCGATTTAAAGATAATTAAGGAAAACCATTTGGAAGGTAACAACTTCCACACACCG